AATCTGATCAGAGAAACCAGGGAGATAAAACAATAAGATGTTGGTTTTAAAGTAAATAAATAGGAATGCCTTTAAACTCTTCCCTCTGGCTTCTGGGGAGCACCAGTGTGCAATTAAAGGGAGAAAATAAAGTCAGGATATACTACCTTCCTATAGAGTTATCTTTGGCTGTCTGTCCCCGAACAGAAGGTCATAACTCCTGACTTGACCAACAGTCAATATGCCTTGCAATGGTGGTGGAGAAAGAGAAATCCCCAAAGGAAAATAAAAATTCTGTACCCCAAATTGCCAGGCATAAATGTTGACAAAGCAAAAAGAACATTTATCCAGAATAAATTATTATATCTTAAATTCTGGGTGAATAAAATTTTGTCCATGTTTTCCAAAAGTTCTACTACACATGTAAAACTTTTCCAACAGCAACAAAAAGTTGCCTTAATATTCTTGTGCCCAAAGTTAACAAAATCAAGTAAGCAGAACCTCCCTTTCAGATTTTAGCTTTGAGAGGTTTATATTTTGTCTGGATTTATAAGTCATTATACCTGGACCAGCAGAGTGGTATTGGGAATAGAGAAGAAGGGACATAAAGCAGAGATGCTTTTAAGGAAGAGTCCAAGACAACTTGCCCCTCACTAATCACAGGAGATGAAGGAGAAGAGAAAATTAGAGTTGATTTCAGATTTTCATGCCAAAGTAACAGGGAGAATGGTGACCCATAGCCAAAGACATTAAAGTGATGGACACAGGGTGGTGAGCTGTCTGGAATGGGAAGTTGATGACTTATTCCAGCAAGCTGCTTTCATTTTCTTCTTCTAACTTTCAGGGCTGATGATGAATCTTCCGAGCCTGTGAACACCAATGTGGTCCTGCGGTATGATGGGCTGATCACCTGGGACGCACCAGCCATCACCAAAAGCTCCTGTGTGGTGGACGTCACCTACTTCCCCTTTGATAACCAGCAGTGCAACCTGACCTTTGGTTCCTGGACCTACAATGGCAATCAGGTGGACATATTCAACGCCCTGGACACTGGAGACCTCTCCGACTTCATTGAGGATGTGGAGTGGGAGGTCCATGGCATGCCTGCGGTGAGGAACGTGATCTCCTATGGCTGCTGCTCTGAGCCTTACCCCGATGTGACATTCACTCTCCTTCTGAAGAGGAGGTCCTCCTTCTATATCGTCAACCTCCTCATCCCCTGCGTCCTCATCTCTTTTCTGGCTCCCTTGAGTTTTTATCTCCCTGCAGCCTCTGGGGAAAAGGTCTCCCTGGGCGTGACCATCCTGTTGGCCATGACTGTATTTCAGCTCATGGTGGCAGAGATCATGCCGGCCTCAGAAAACGTCCCTCTGATAGGTGAGTTCAAGTGCCTTACACTTTGAGCCCAACTTTGTAGTGACTGCAGTGATATGCATGCCTTTTAACTTATAACAGTTAGCCCAGCTTCACACTCAACACAGGCTGTCACATATTTCATCTAGTGTCTTCAGTTGGCATGGGTGAATACAGGTGTGGCTGTTGGAAACAAAACTGGCCTTGTGGTCTCCAGATGGACCCAAAAGAAGATTGAGGGGCAATATAGTTTAGAGCAATGGTTCTCAAAGGGAGGTCCCCAGACCCACAGCATCAGCATCTTTTTTAGAAATGCAAATTCTCAGGGCCCACCCTAGACCTAATGAATTAGGGACCCTGAGGGTGAGGGCTGGCATCTGTTTTAATAAGCTTTCTGGGTGATTTTGAGTTTAAGGCCTTGATTTTTTAAAGTCAAAAGAAATCTACATTTGAACTCTGACTTCACCATTCATTCCTGGATCAATCTTTGACAAGTTATTTAATCTTTGAGTCTCTGCTACCTCATCAGCACAATTCATGTAACTGCCACCTCATGTGCCATTGCTTAGCTCAGAGCCCAGCCTATGATAAGTACTGAGTAAAGAGTGACTCTTTTTATCTTTTCACATCACAAGGGGTCTCTCCTTGGGAAGAATGGTAAACGTGTTAGAAATGAACTGGTTTTAAGCCTACCATCTACCCTTAAAAGAATAATTCTCAACCTTTATTGGGTATAATAGGTGTGTGAGGGCTTGTAAAAATTCAGGTTCCTATATCTATAAAGTTTAATTTAGCAATCTTGGGCAAGATTTGAGAATCTGAGGTGATTCTAAAGTGGATCACATTTTTAAAAATCTGCAATAATGAAATGTCCTCCTAAGGGTAGAGTGTAGACTGAGACTACCATTCCTGTCTCCTGTATTTTTTTTACCTACCTCATTCTGAGTTCCCTCCTAACACCTTCAATACCTACACCCTGCCACCAAGGATATCACTCAGCTGCAACACCTCTATGTCAATGCTGTGTTATTGTAAAAGATGCTTACCATGCCCTAACTGATTTGGATCAGTGGATAGAGTGCCTGCCTGCAGACTGAAGGGTCCTGGGTTCGATTCCGGTCAATGGGACATGCCTGGGTTGCAGGCTCTGTCCCCAGTAGGGGGTGTGCAGGAGGCAGCCCGATCAATGATTCTCTCTTAATCATTGATGCTTCTATCTCTCCCTCTCCCTTCCTCTCTGAAATCAATAAAAATATATTTAAAAATAAAAAATAAATTTTAAAAAAGTTGCTTACCCAAATAAAAAACTAGACCTATTTTTTAGTTCCTTAAAGTAGGCAATGAGGAGAAATTTCAGAACCAGAGATTTACAGACCAATATCAAAGGGATATTGCATTGCTCCTTTACCCTCCACTGAATCCCGTATTATTTAATACTAGAGACTCAGTGCATGAAATTCATGCACTGGTAGGGTCCCTGGTGGCTACTGGCTGCCAGCCGGGGCCTCCATCCCTCCCCCTGGCCGGCCCTGTCCCCTGGTAGAACTCCTTGATGCACTCCCAGTCAAGGGGACAATTTGTATACTATGTTTTTCTTATATAGGATTCAGATGTTACTACATTGATTTCTCTGTTTGGAGGTTTGTTTCTTACATCTCTCCAAGCAAAACACAGACACACACACAGACATACACACACACCTTTTTAAGAGATAGACACAGAAGGTTCTCTAATCCCCATCGTACCACTAAAGAGGAGGTATATGGCATTTTTTATGACCTCTTCTGAGAGGCAGAAATTATGGACAGTGATGATATCCAATCATAACCCTATTTGAGGCAGCACCAATTGGTAAATCCCTCTCCCTTCTTTAGCAGTGACATTCAACAGCAAGCTGCCTCAGTTCTGAAAAGCAATGTCTCAGGACATGTGTTGGAAATTTTGCAAGCATTACTTCTATTTCTGTGATAATATAAAAATGTATTTTTTTTGGAGTACCCATACGACTTTCAGCTGATTTCTCAACAGAAACTATGCAGGCCAGAAGGGAGTGGCAAGAAATATTCAAAGTGATGAATACCAAGAACCTACAACCAAGATTACTTTACCCAGCAAAGCTATCATTCAGAATTGAAGGTCAGATAAAGAGCTTCACAGATAAGAAAAAGCTAAAGGAGTTCATCACCAGCAAACCAATATTATATGAAATGCTGAAAGGTATCCTTTAAGAAGAGGAAGAAGAAGAAAAAGGTAAAGATACAAATTATGAACAACAAATACACATCTATCAACAAGTGAATCTAAAAATCAAGTGAATAAATAATCTGATGAACAGAATAAACTGGTGAATATAATAGATTCAGGGGCATAGAAAGGGAGTGGACTGACTATTCTCGGGGGGGATACGGGTGTGGGGGGTGCGGGAAGAGACTGGACAAAAATCGTGCACCTATGGATGAGGACAGTGGGGGTGGGGGCGAGGGCAGAGGGTGGGGTGGGAACCGGGTGGAGGGGATCTATGGGGGGGGGGGGGAAGAGGAACAACTGTAATAATCTGAACAATAAAGATTTAATTAAAAAAATAATTAAAAACATTAAAAAAATATTTTTTAGGGAGAGTAGAAGGGAGGGGGAGAGACAGAGAGAGAGAAACATTGGTATGAGAGAGACACATCCATTGGTTGCCTTCTGCACGACCCAACCAGGGCGGGGGTCAAGCCTGCAACCAACGTACATGCCTTTGACAGGAATTGAACCCGGGACTCCTCAGCGCATGGGCCGACACTCTATCCTCTGAGCCAAACTGGCTAGGGTGGTTCTTATATTTCTTTTTTTAAAATATATTTTTACTGATTTGAGAGAGGAAGGAAGAGGGAGAGAGAGAGAAAAAAATGAATGATGAGAGACAAGAGAGAACCATTGATCAGCAGCCTCCTGCAGGCCCCACACTGGGGATCAAGCCCGCAACCAGGGTATGTGCCCTTGACTGGAGTCGAACCGAGACCTTTCAGTCCACAGGCCGATGCTCTATCCACTGAGTCAAACCATCTAGGGCTGCCACCCCACCCTATTTTTAAATTGATTTTTGAAGAGAGGAAGGGAGAGAAACATTGATGTGGGACTGAACCACCGGCTGCCTCCTGCACGCCCCCAAATCCAACCCGCGATCACCACACGCCCCCCCTGCCCAACCCCCGGACAGAGCACTTCGCTCTAACCGCTGACCACCTGGCAGGGCGGCTTTGCTCTGAGGAGCAGCGGGCTCCGGTCGGCACTGCAGGGAAAGAGCCACCAGGGGGCGCCAGAGACCAGCGCCCCCTGCCCAGACACGACCAGGCTGCGAGGGACAAGGGGGGGGGGCAGGGGGGGGCGGGGCGCCCGCCCCTGACTGGCTCCAGCTGGAACCTGGAGAATACGTCATCATCCTGTGCCGACGCTCAGGATAAAAACGACGCTCTGGGCACACGCAGCCGCAGTTTCTCTTCAGACTCCGGACCAGCGACTGCGGCGATGTCGGCGCAGGGTGCTTCACTCCACTGCGGGAGGAAAAGGCCTCTTGGAAAGTGAAGACCTTACATTAGATTCTCCAGGAAAAGAGGCTACGGAAGGAGCAGGAAGAGAAGGCAGAGTAAAGCGCTTAAAAAATTCCGACCGTGAGTGAGGAGGCGGGGGAAGCCGTAGCCATGGCGGCGGCTGTGGCCTTGGTGGGAGGCGTCAACGGGACTGAGCTAGGCCTCGCGGAAGAACTCGCCAAACTCGAGTATCTGTCTTTGGTGTCGAAGGTTTGCACTGAGTTGAACAATCACTTGGGGATCAACGACAAGGACCTGGCTGAATTTGTCATCAGTCTTGCTGAGAAAAATACCACCTTTGATACTTTTAAGACTTTCCTCGTCAAAAATGGTGCAGAATTCACGGATTCTCTTATCAGTAACTTGCTGCGTCTCATACAAACCATGCAGCCTCCCCCAAAGTCTTCTACTGGCAAAGACCCAGTTGTTAAACCCAAAACTGAGAAAGAAAAGCTGAAAGAACTCTTTCTAGTCCTTTGCCAACCAGACAACCCTTCTGTTTGGACCATGCTGGATGAGGATGATGTGAAAGTCGCTGTGGATGTCCTGAAAGAACTGGAGGCTTTAATGCCCAGTGCAGCGGGCCAGGAGAAGCAAAGAGATGCCCAGCACTGGGACAAGGCAAAGAAGAAGAAGCGGAGCCGGAACCGAGAACGAGACCGTGATAGAGACCACAAGCGGAGACACCAGTCCCGCTCTCGATCACGTTCCAGGACCCTGGAGAGGAATAAAGGGAAGTCTAGATATCGGTCCAGGAGCAGAAGTCAGAGTCCCCCCAGAGACCGGAAGGACCGAGACAAATGGGAGAGGAATCTGGACAGATGGCGGGATAAGCACGTGGACTGCCCTCCCCCGGAAGAGCCCGCTATCGGGGAAGTTTACAGTGGCAAAGTTACCAGCATCATGCAGTTTGGATGTTTTGTGCAGCTAGAGGGACTAAGGAAGCGGTGGGAAGGTCTGGTGCATATTTCTGAGCTCCGGCGGGAAGGCCGTGTCGCTAATGTGGCTGATGTGGTGAGCAAAGGCCAGAGAGTCAAGGTCAAAGTGTTGTCTTTCACTGGGACCAAGACCAGTTTGAGCATGAAGGATGTGGATCAAGAGTCTGGGGAAGATCTAAACCCAAATCGATGACGAAATCTTGTCGGGGAGACCAATGAGGGGACTTCTATGAGGAATCCCGACAGACCCACTCACCTCTCCCTCGTCAGTGCCCCTGAAGTAGAGGATGACTCGCTGGAGCACAAGCGCCTTACCCGCATCTCTGACCCAGAGAAGTGGGAGATCAAACAGATGATTGCTGCTAATGTACTTTCTAAAGAAGAGTTTCCAGACTTTGATGAAGAGACTGGCATTCTTCCTAAAGTAAATGATGAAGTAGATGAGGACCTTGAGATGGAACTGGTTGAGGAAGAGCCTCCCTTCCTGAGAGGGCACAGCAAGCAAAGCATGGACATGAACCCTATTGAAATTGTTAAGAACCCAGATGGCTCGCTCTCTCATGCAGCCATGGTGCAGAGTGCCTTGGCCAAAGAAAGGCGGGAGCTCAAGCAAGCTCAGCGAGAAGCCGAGATGGATTCTATTCCCATGGGACTCAACAAACATTGGGTTGATCCTTTGCCTGATATGGAAGGCAGGCAGATTGCTGCCAACATGAGAGGTATTGGGATGATGCCCAATGACATCCCCAAGTGGAAGAAGCATGCCTTTGGGGGCAACAAAGCTTCTTATGGAAAAAAGACCCAGATGTCAATCCTTGAGCAGAGAGAGAGCCTGCCCATCTACAAACTGAAGGAGCAGCTAGTCCAGGCTGTCCATGACAATCAGATCCTGATTGGTATTGGAGAGACAGGATCTGGGAAGACAACACAGATCACCCAGTACCTGGCAGAGGCGGGCTACACTTCCAGGGGCAAGATTGGATGTACCCAGCCCAGAAGAGTGGCAGCCATGTCAGTGGCCAAAAGAGTGTCAGAGGAGTTTGGTTGTTGCTTAGGCCAAGAGGTGGGCTATACCATTCGATTTGAGGACTGTACCAGCCCTGAAACAGTCATCAAGTACATGACAGATGGGATGTTGCTCCGAGAGTGCCTGATTGACCCCGACCTCACACAGTATGCGATCATCGTGTTGGATGAGGCACATGAGAGAACAATTCACACTGATGTGCTCTTTGGATTGTTGAAGAAGACTGTTCAGAAACGGCAGGACATGAAGCTGATTGTCACCTCAGCTACCTTGGATGCAGTGAAGTTTTCTCAGTACTTCTATGAAGCTCCCATCTTCACCATCCCTGATCGAACATATCCAGTGGAAATACTGTACACAAAGGAACCTGAGGCAGATTATCTGGATGCCAGCTTGATCACCATCATGCAGATCCATTTAACAGAACCACCAGGTGACATCCTGGTCTTTCTGACTGGTCAGGAGGAGATCTACACTGCCTGTGAGATCCTGTATGAAAGAATGAAATCCCTGGGACCTGATGTTCCAGAGTTGATTATCCTCCCAGTGTACTCTGCTCTTCCCAGTGAGATGCAGACCCGAATCTTTGACCCAGCTCCACTTGGCAGCAGAAAGGTCGTGATTGCCACCAACATTGCAGAGACATCGCTGACTATTGATGGCATCTACTATGTGGTGGACCCTGGCTTTGTGAAGCAGAAAGTTTACAATTCCAAGACAGGGATCGACCAGCTCGTGGTGACTCCTATTTCTCAGGCTCAGGCAAAGCAACGAGCTGGCAGAGCTGGAAGAACAGGCCCAGGGAAGTGTTACAGGCTGTACACAGAACGAGCCTACCGAGATGAAATGCTGACCAGCAATGTGCCAGAAATCCAGAGAACCAACTTAGCAAGCACAGTGCTCTCGCTCAAGGCCATGGGCATCAATGACCTTCTGTCCTTTGACTTCATGAATGCCCCACCAATGGAAACCTTGATCACAGCCATGGAGCAACTGTACACACTGGGGGCCCTGGATGATGAGGGCCTGCTTACTTGCCTGGGCCGCAGGATGGCAGAATTCCCGCTGGAACCAATGCTGTGCAAAATGCTGATCATGTCTGTGCATCTGGGCTGCAGTGAGGAAATGCTGACCATTGTGTCCATGCTGTCTGTGCAGAACGTTTTTTACAGGCCCAAGGATAAACAAGCCCTTGCTGATCAGAAGAAGGCCAAATTCCACCAAACCGAAGGAGACCACCTCACCCTGTTGGCCGTGTACAATTCTTGGAAGAACAACAAGTTTTCCAACCCATGGTGCTATGAGAACTTTATCCAAGCTCGTTCTCTGCGCCGGGCCCAGGACATTCGCAAGCAGATGTTAGGCATAATGGACAGACACAAGCTGGATGTGGTTTCCTGCGGTAAGTCCACAGTCCGAGTGCAGAAGGCCATCTGCAGTGGATTCTTCCAAAATGCTGCCAAGAAAGACCCGCAGGAGGGTTACCGGACACTGATTGACCAGCAAGTGGTCTACATCCACCCTTCCAGTGCTCTCTTCAACAGACAGCCGGAATGGGTGGTGTACCATGAGCTGGTGCTGACCACAAAGGAGTACATACGTGAGGTCACCACCATCGACCCCCGGTGGCTTGTGGAGTTTGCTCCTGCCTTCTTCAAGGTCTCCGACCCAACGAAGTTAAGCAAGCAGAAGAAGCAGCAGCGCCTGGACCCCTTGTACAACCACTGTGAGGAGCCCAACGCCTGGAGAATATCCCGGGCTTTCCGGCAGCGCTGACAGGCAAGACTTGTTTGTCTTCTGTGGCAGTGGTCCAGGGCTTGGACTCACTCTTATTGATGAAAAGCTGACCATGGGGATATGATCTTAACTGGACATTTTCCAAACTTGATTTGCATTTCTTCCCTTGTGGTAAAATAGAAACAGGGATTTATGCCTGGTTTGACCAGAATGTCCAATCTGCACTACCTCAAATCACTGGGGCCACCTGGGGCTCACAGCCAACACGGGTACATTGTATCATCTCCAAGAAAGGGGTAACTCGTGCAGCCCTGGGATGGGAAATGGGTTGTGAGCACAGGACACCTGGACATGCAGACAGATGGGCACGATGGGGACCCTGATGCCCTAGCTGGTACTGTGTGGAGAAGAGAGCCATGAAGCTCATTGAAAGTGTTGGCCCCACTTCCTGCTCCTGTCCAGCCCCTGTACTTTCCCTTGACCTGATAATATTTATTTTCTTATTAAGGAAACAAAAATGGAAAAAAAAATTCTGATCGGTAACCTTCGGGCAGGACGAAGCTCGCTGGGGGTGGGAGAGGCGGGAGATGGTGAGAGAGCATTCCCGGAGAGAGAGGGACTGCCTGGAGCAGCTGGAAAGGAAGCTGGGGCGGGAGCACAAGCTGCAGGAGCAGCAGAAGGAGCAGTGGGAGACTGTGGGTCAGACCCGGTCCTGCCCGGATGACGGGCTACTGCGGCCTGGGCTGTGGTGATGTGGCCTCGAGTTGAACTGCTGGCCTCGTTTTCCACATTTCGTTTCTGTTTTGTCTTGGCTTGTAAATTTGTAGAATTAAATCTTATTTCCTTGTGGAAAAAAATAATAATAAAAAATCCAGAACAAGAGATTAAAAAAATGTATTTTTTTTAAGGAAGGATGCACACAGATCTTGAGAATATTTATTAGCAATCACAATTTATTTGTAGCACTCATGAAATGAACTTCTAGTCATAGAAACGTGTTCAAGTTTTCTTCATAAGTATAGCATTTGCTCTGGGCATCTGGCCCGTAGCCTTTACCAAGTTCCATTTAGTTTTAGTTTACTCAGAGCTTTTAACAAGTAATAAACAGATGATGAATATTATTAAATCCATTATCTCCATCTGTTAAGATATGCATGTGAGTTTTCTCTTTTACTCTCTATTAAAGTAGTGAATTAGGTTTTCTGATGTTGAGCTAAACCCTCCTTTATCATGATGAATTATCATTTAAAGACACCAATTGAGTTAGCTTGCTAATAATTTTTATAGGATTTTCTCAAATATGTCTATAAGTGAAATGGCCTTAATATTTCCTTTCTTGTTACTTTTGGAATCAAGGTTAAATTGACTTCACAAAATGAACCAGACAGTTTTTCCTCTTTTTCTATTTCTGGAACAACTTGAATGAAATAAATTATCTGTTCCTTAAAAGTTTGGCAAAACTCACCTACAAAGTCTTTTGGCCCTAGAGTATTTAGGGGGTAGATATATTTGATTAATTCCATTTCTAATCAAGTGTTCTTTCTTCTTATGCTATGTTTGACATCTGATATATTTCTAGAAATTTGATGTAGGTTTTCAAATGTAGTATCATGCAACTATTTATAAGATTATTATATTTTCTCAATTTTGATTCTCTTATTTTCTCTTTTGCATCCTCTTTCTCCCCACTACCACCTGCCTCTATTTCATGTGCAGTCTTACCAAAAGTTTATCGATTTCATTATTTTAAAAAAGTAGCTCCCTTTCAATGTTATTCATTTTCTTGGATTTTTTTGTTCTATATTTTATAAATTTTTACCTTTATCTTTGTTTCCTTTTTTCATTTTTTTCAGGATTATTCACTTTATTATATGATCACATGTTAAATAGATAGGGACACAGTGTCTCTTCTTATTCAATAGTAATGAGCTTTCACATTAATGAGGCCTGAAGACAATTCAGAGAACTGGCTGAGATTGTTAATTATTTGTCTGTCGAAAGTGAACATTTTTCACACCATGATCTCAGCAAACATTTAAAAATCTTTTAAGTAGGTATAAGGGACAGTTCTGAGGACTTTACATGAGTCACCGCAATTAAGCTTCACTATATTCCTATGAGTTAGATACAAGTATTATATTCATTTTGCAAAGAAAGAAGCTCAGGCTTAGCAGCATTATATAACTTGTTCCAGGACACAAGTCTAGTGGGTGACAGAACTCGGGATTTGAACCCAGGAAGTTTGATTCAAAAGTGTATAGTAGTACTCATTAGTATATATGGCTTCCTTAGAAAAAGTGTGTTTTGTTTTGGGTGTTTTTTTTTTTGAGCCAAACATGAGGTCAGTTTTAAGCTGACTTGGTTGTTGATATTTTTCAGGCAAATACTACATAGCCACGATGGCCTTGATCACAGCCTCCACTGCCTTGACCATTATGGTGATGAATATCCACTTCTGTGGGGCTGAGGCCCGGCCAGTGCCACACTGGGCCAGGGTGGTTATACTGAAATACATGTCCAGGATCTTGTTCGTTTACGACGTGGGTGAGAGTTGCCTTAGCCCCCGCCATGACAGGGAGCGGGGCCGCCTCACAAAGGTTTATGGCAAACTTCCAGAGGCTAATCTGAAAACAGCCAGGAACAAAGACCTTCCCAGAAAGAAGGAAATGAACAAACTCTTAAAGAATGACTTGGGGTGCCAAGGTGAGACCCCACGGGATGCTGACAATTACTGTGCACGGTACAAAGTGCTGACGAGGAACATCGAATACATTGCCAAGTGCCTCAAAGACCACAAGGCCACCAATTCCAAGGGGAGTGAATGGAAGAAGGTTGCGAAAGTCATAGATCGATTCTTCATGTGGATTTTTTTCATTATGGTGTTTGTGATGACTGTTTTGATCATAGCAAGAGCAGATTAATGAGCACTTGGTATGTGGGGATGAAATAATAGAATTCTCTGTGATCTACAATAATAATTCCTCCAAGTCTTCTCTATTTTAACTACAGAAATACTTTTACCAGTTAAGTTGCATTTGGCTGCAAATAACAGAAAACCCAATGAACCATAACTTAAATAGAAACTACTCATCTACACAAAAATAAATCTACAGTTACAAAGTCCAAGGATCTTTTCATTTTTCCTGTGTTGTTTTAAGGCATTAAATTTGTGGTAATCGGTTACAACAGTAATAGAAAACTAATATAGGAACCAGAGTAATTCTGTGTATATAACATTTTCCATGTTTTAGATTATTTGTTTGGGATAGATTTGACTATAGCCAGGTTGAAATGATTTTATTGAGCCATTTCTAGATATTTCATCTAGGTTTTCAAATGTATTATCATGCAGCTGTTTATAAAATTCTTATATTGCTTTCTAAAATTTGATTTCTAAAAATTAAACTTTATCTGAAAACATTAGGGATCCACAAAAGCATTAAACCAAGGGAATGATAGTGTCAGATTTATGTTTCAGAAATAAGATGGTGGTGACTATGAGACTGTAGAGATAAGATAGAAGAGGTAGAGAGATCTATTGAAATGTGTTGTTTTTGTTTTATCAATTCAAGAAAGAGATAATGAAAGCGTGACCCAAGATGAGGGGAATAAGAAAACGAGTCACAACGTGTTTATGACCTAGAATAGATAAAACTTGGTGACTGGTTGGATATGCGGTTATGGAGAGAGTGGTATTGAGAATAATTCTGAGCTTTCTATCTCAGACAACTGAGGTGAGGAATAAAGGAAGACCAGGTTTTGGAGGAAAGAATTCTGTTTAGGACATCTTGAGCTGGAAATGCTTCTGGGATATGCTGGTAGAGATATCCAGTAAGTAGCTGAACGTACATTTGGAACTTTGGATATAAGTGAAAGCTTAAAAAAAAGATATACACTCAAGTTCATTGTTAACATATATATTAAGTAATTTCAGTGGGTAGGACACAGTGCTACAAACCATGAGAGAGTCAAAAGAATGAAAACACATTTTTTTTTTGCCAGAATTCCAGAAGCTTAGAACCATCATACATCATTAAAGCATTTGCCTTGTTAAACTGTCATTTCTCCATTCACATATCTGCTTCCCCAAGTATATTCAGTTCCTCCCCAGGCCTACGGCCCAGAAGCTCTGTCATTATTCTCTCTCTTTTTTTAAAAAAAATATTTTTATTGATTTCAGAGAGGAAGAGAGAGGGAGAGATAGAAACATCAATGATGAGAGAGAATCATTGATCAGCTGCCTCCTGCATGCCCCCCACTGGGGATCAATCCCATACCCGAGCATGTGCCCTTGACCAGAATCAAGCCTGGGACCCTTGAGTCCACAAGCGGATGCTCTATCCATTGAGCAAAACTGGCTAGGGCCATTATTCTCTTTTTTAATTTTTTTAATTTTTTAAATTGTTGACAGTATTACGGATGTCTCCCATTTTCTCCCCCTTTACTCTCTACCCAGCCCCTACTCCCCGCCCGCACCGCCCCCCCCCCCCCAGGTCTTCATCACCCTATTGCCTGTGTCCATGAGCTATGCTTGTAAGTATATAATTTCTTTGGTTTATCTCTCCTCCTCCTCCCAAACCCACATCAAGGTATGTCTGTCTATCCCATGCCTTCATGCTTCAGGTCTTATTTTATTGGTCAACTAGAAGCCCAGTGCATGGATTCATGCACTGGTGGGATCCCTCGGCCTGGCCTGTGCCCTCTCGAAATCTGGGAACCCTTTGGGGATGTCAGACTGCCAGGTTTAACCCGATCCCTGCAGGCTATGCTGAGGGACCCCACTGGTGCATGTATCCATGCACCAAGCCTCTAGTATGCATATAAGATCTTTGATTAACCCGTTCCCGCCCTCCCCCCAACCCCCTTCCCTCTGAGATTCATCAGTTTGTTCTATGTTTCCATGCCTGTGCATTGAGCATCCGCCCCCCTGGTGGCACTGTGCATCAGAGCTACTGGTTGAACAGTCACTTAGGCTTTTATATATATAGATTCATTTTGTTCAGTAGATTCCACAAATAAGTGAGATCATGTGATATTTGTCTTTCTCAGTTTGGCTTATT